GGTAGGATGAAGCGGAAGGCCTGGATAGAGTGGATGTGAAGAACATGTTTCCACTAATGAGAGAGACTAGAACCTGAGGGCATAGCATCAGAGTAAAGGAATGACCCTTTAGAACTGAAAAGAGGAATTTCTTCAGCCAGAAATTGAGTCTGTGGAATTCACTGCCTCAGAAGGCTGTGGAGGCCAAGTCATTGAGTATATTTAAGCCAGAGATAGATAGGTTCTTGATTAGTAAAGGGATTTAAGATTATGGAGAGAAGGCAGGGGAATGGGGGTTGAGAAACAGATCAGCCATGATCGAATGACAGAGCAGTCTCGATGGGCTGAATGACACATTTCTGCTCCTCTATCTTATGGCTCTTTTATAAGCAAAATCAAAACTCTCTCACGTCAACAGTTTTTGCAACTCTGAGTGCCTTTGCTTTTGATTTGATACTCGACCATTTGTTAAGTATGAGTGATTCATCCTTCTCATCCAGTCCTTCTTGAACAGAATAAATTTTGGCTAAATGTTATGAAGTATCTTTCCCTGTTTAAATGCCTGTCACTGCTCACTAATATAATCCTCCACTAATTAGTTCTCCCAGCCCATTTAGACAAACTTTTCTTCATTCCTCTGGAATCATTTTACTTTGAGAATACTGGTTTGAGATATGGGTTGCTGTTCGTCAGATAATGATTTTTGACATTATGGGCTAACCATTGAAAACATGAGCAAGTCAGCCATTGTCAACTTTTAGTGGTGGGGGAACCTGGTGAATTTGAATAACAAACACCTTCTGGAAAGGGATAAAAGCAAAATACTGTACATATTGGAAATCTAAAATAAAAATATGAAGTGCTAGAAAAGCCCAGCAGGTCCGACAGTGTCAATGAAGTGAGAAATAGCTAACATTTCAAGTCTAATAAGACTTTGTTCTGTTTCTATAAAAGGACGTTCTGCAGGAAGTGTGAAGATAAACAGACACTACCCTTCAACTACAATGTACAAAACAATAACCCATCTGAAAAACCCTTAAGAATGGGATAACCATTATTAAGCAGTCCATCAGGATCAAGAGAGGCTTGCTTTCACTCTGGTTCAATGATTTCTGTGCATTGGACTTAACAACCATTCCAATCAGTAATCTATTGCACTAGAGTCAGGTAGCGAAGGTTCAGGTAGGTGGGTTAATTGGAGGTTTATGTGCTCCCCGACACTCAATGTCATCTCTGCAGATAGAATCCCTAGTGCGTAAGCAGGCCATTTGGCCCATCGAGTCCACACTGATCCTCCAAAAAGCATCCCACACAGACCTAATGGCTACCCTGTCCCTGTAACCTGCATTCCCCATGGCTAATCCATCTAGCCTGCACATCCCTAGATACTCTGGGAAATTTAGCATGGCCAATCTGCCTAATCCGGACATTTTTGGACTATTGGAAGAAACCAGGGCACCCAGAGGAAATCCATGCAGACAGTCACCTGAGGCTGGAATCAAACATGGGTGCTTGACATTGTGAGGCAGCAGCAGTAACCACTGTGCCACCCTTGTCAATGAAAGCTAATGAGTTTAGTGCCTTCCCACGAGAGTGTCTGTGGGTCATAAATGAGAGACTTCCAAAAGTTGGCAGGTATTTTTGAAGTATTTCCACCATGCTCCTGAACTCTCAAGAATAACTGTTTTGGGAGTCTTGTGTCAAACATAGGAACATATCCATCTCTGGTAACCACCTGGAAACTTATATCTACTTCAAATCCAACGACTCCCACAGCTACCTAGACTACACCTCCTCTCACCCACCTTCCTGCAAGAATGCGATCCCCTATTCCCAATTCCTCTGCCTCTGCTGCATCTGTTCCCAAGATGAGGCGTTCCACTCCCGGACATCCCAGATGTCCTCGTTTTTCAAGGACCACAACTTCCCTTCCACAGTGGTTGAAAACGCCCTCGACCGCATCTCTTGAGTTTCCCGCACCTCAGCCCTCATACCCCCTCCCCGCAACAATAAACATAGAATTCCCCTCGTCCTCATGTATCACCCCATCAACCTCCGGTTCAATGCATCATTCTCCGCCACCTGCAATCTGACCCCACTAACAAGGATATATTTCCCTCCCCACCCTTATCTGCCTTCCGGAAGGACCGCTCTCTCCACGACTCCCTTGTCTGCTCCACGCTCCCCACTAGCCCCACCGCTCCCGGCACTTTTCCCTGCAACCGCAGGAAGTGCTACACCTGCCCCTACACCTCCCCCCTCACCTCAATTCCAGGCCCCAAGAAAACCTTCCACATTAAACAGATGTTCACCTGCACATCTGCTAATGTGGTATACTGTATCTGCTGTTCCCGATGTGGCCTCCTCTGCATCGGGGAAACCAAGCGGAGGCTTGGAGACTGCTTTGTGGAACACTTATGCTCGGTTCGTGACAAACGACAACACCTCCCAGTTGCGAACCACTTCAACTTCCCCTCCCACTCCTTGTACGACATGTCCATCCTGGGCCTCCTCCATTGCCACAACGACGCCACCCAAAGGCTGGAGGAATAGCACCTCATATTCCACCTGGGAACCCTGCAGCCCAATGGTCTCAATGTGGACTTTACAAGCTTCAAAATCTTCCCACCCCCGACCTCATCCAAAGACCAGCCCTTCTCGTCCCTGCCTCCTTGATCTGTCAGTCTTCCCTCCCACCTACCCATCCCTCCCTCCTCACTGACCAACCTCCATCCCAACTCCCTACCTGCCCTCACCTGAACTAGCTTCACCCCCACCTCCTTGACCTGTCCGTCTTCTCTATACCTATCTGCTCCTCTGTCCACCTTCTATCATTGCCTCCTCCTCTCTATTTATTTCAGAGCCCCCTTCCCCTCCCCATTTCTGAAGAAGGATCCAGACCCGAAACGTCAGCTTTCCTGCTCCTCTGATGCTGTCTGGCCTGCTGTGTTCATCCAGCTCTACACCTCTGCCCAGTGGATCTGGTTTTGAACGATCAGCATCTCAATGCAGGGCATCATGGATTGCGAAAGGATGTTGCCATCAGACTCTGCTTGCCATCAAATTTATAGAACCTTGGAGGTAACTCTCCAATGTTTTGACACATCTGCTCTACGTTTATCCAATTCTGTTAAGCATTAGCAGCACAGGGATTGTTGCTGCCTAGTGAACTCTGATCTTACTCATGTTTGAGATCCTGCTCTTCAAATGCATTTTCTTATGTTGTTTTGAGTGAGCTGCACACTGGAGTCAATGATAAATTTTGGCATTTGTGCCTGCCCTCACTGAGGGGAAGTTCCCAGGCTATGAAAAATATTCCACATTTTTCAGGCTCTCACAATTAGTGTTAATTTAGAAATAGGCAATGCAGAAGGGTAGAACAGACGTTTTGCTGCAGAAGCTGATGAGAAGAGGACGTTACCAGGTGTCTAGTGAAATGCCAATTCTTTCTCCTATCCTCTTCCTCAAAACTACACTGAAATGACAGCCTGGATTTGGTCCTCAACTCTCGGAACCCTTTAATACTTACAATGATAATGCTTAAGATGGTTTTGGGATAATAGATTTTGGAAGATGTAGTTTTTTAAGCCCTATAGACTAAGTGACAAAACTTTTCAAATGTCAATTGAGTAAATTTTTATTACAATGGTCTAGTCCTGGTAATTCAGCAACAATTCAAATTTGTTCCTGCCAATTTTTCGTACTGCATTCCTATACTCCAACATTATTCTTGATGTTTATTTCAAATGTTCAGATCATTCAAAAAACATCAGCATAAAAAATGAGCAATTTATCATTGCCAAGGAATGGCAGATGAAATTTAATGCAGATAAATGCGAGAAGTTGCATTTTGATAAGACAAACAGGGGCAGGATTTACAGAGTTAATGGTAGGGCTCTGAAAAGCTTTGTCGAACAGAGACACCTAGGGGTGCGAGTACATAGTTCCTTCAAAGTGGCGTCACAGGTCGACAGGGTGGTGAAGGTGTTTGGCTCGCTTGCCTTAACCAGTCAGAGTACTGAGTACAAGGGTTGGGACATCATGTTAAAACTATACAAGACACTGGTATAGTCAGATTTAGAATACTGCCAAAATGATTTAGAGGGATGTTATAGACACTATAAGATTGGAGTCATATAGATAGGCTGGGACTTTTTTCCCTGGAGCGTAGGAGGCTGAGGGATGACCTTATAAAATCATAAGGGCCATAGATAAGGTGAATAGCCAAGGTCTTTTCCACATGGTAGGAAGTCCAAAACTAGAAGGTATAGATTTAAAGTGAGAGGGGAAAGATTTAAAACGAACCTGAGGGACAGCATTTTCACAGAGCTGAAACAAGCTGCCAAAGGAAGTGGTAGTGACAGGTACAGTTACAACATTCTGAAGAAGGGTCTAGGCCCAAAATGTCAGCCTTCCTGCTCCTCTGATGCTGCTTGGCCTGCTGTGTTCATCCAGCTCTACACTTTGTTATCTCTGATAACACCTCTGAACAGGTTGACTAGAAAAAGATTTTTAAAAAAAGCAGACCCAAGGGTTCTTGTGGCACAGTGGTAGAGTTCCCGAAATAAAAAAAGACATTTGGATAGGTCCACAGATAAGAAAGGTAGTGTCCCTACCTCTAGACTGAAAGGACTGTGTTCAAGGTTCACCTGTCCCAGAGGTGTGTAACAACATCTCTGAGCAGATTGATTAGAAAAATAGGTCAAATTGAAAAAATAAAGCAGACCCAAGGACTCTTGGTAGAATTCCTAAAACAAAAAAGACATTTGGATAGGTCCACAGGTAAGAAAAATTTAGAGGGATATGGGCCGAACAAAGGCAAAGGGGACTAGTTCAGGTTAGAAAATCTGGTTGGACATGGACGGGTCGGGCTGTAGAGTCTATTTCCATGCTGTATGACCCTCAGCAGATTATATATTCCAAGGAGGGATTAACAATTCAATCATATGTACAAATATTAGCTGACCTCCTCACACTTTGACTTGTACATGGCCGAAACGGTGTAATCAGAAAACACCTTGTGAGGTTTTCTATGCACTATAATTACACTGAATTGTAATTCTTACGTATTGGCAATGTTACAAGTACAAAAACATTACTGACAGTAACAGCACGCACACCTGTCAAGTGCTTTACATACGCTACAGTAAACTAATTAACACAGATATTGGAATTACAATTTAGTGTTACAAATAAGGAAAATTAAGTGAAATTTGGATCATGCTAATTGCTTTATTAAAAGTTGACTGACACTTAGCCAAATGGATTTGATGTCAATGTATAATGTTAGTTGCATGCATCCTCTAGCTGTTCCATATCAATGTCTGGTTAAGCTAAACTTTCATGTCAAACACAACGTACGTTTGCATCTGAATTTAAATAATTTAATTCCACTGTTGCACTCAATATGTATAGAAAAATCAACAAATATTTTTTGCTAGCATTGCATTTGAACAAAAACAGAAGCTGAATATTATACAAGCTGAAATGTAATGTTTATGAATGGACCAACAGTGCTTTTAAACTCATTTGGCTTTTCACTAACTGAACTGCATTTTTCAAGATTATATGTACAAAAGCAAGCAAACAAACTTACCATACAATGCACTGATATAATTCACATTAATAGCAGAGGAAAAGACCATTCTTTATAGGAAACGTCAGAGAAGAAATAGTATGTACTTCTGCAGCTGATGCTGAGAATTAATGGTTTATTGTACTGTACTGAAACCGATGTTAAATTTGGATTTTGAACCCTGACATCAAATACCTTAAACATCAATTACTAATTATTGAAACAATTTGCTTTTGCTTGATGTTCAACACTTCTTGCAAGTATTTCAGGTCACTTAGAACTTTGGCTGGTATAGGTAAACTTGTCCACTAAGGCACCCAGAGGCAAGCTGACAATGAGTTGGTGAAAACTTCGTTGTAAGCACTACATCACTATGAGAATAAATAGTTCTGATTTCCTGCAGTGCAGTGGCTTCTCTGGGTAAGCAATCACAGAGTTCATTGCACTGGCTATCAAAACCCAACAAGCGGATTCCATAACCAAAAGGTGAGCAAATCAGTCGGCCATCTGGACTGAAGCAAAGTTCTTTAATGTAACCACGACCCACATTAGCCTCTTCAATGTAGTGCGTAAGGCAGAGGGAGCAACGAGGGGCAGATGCACGAACTGGAGGCCCGTCCTGAAACTCATAGATGCACGTCCACTAGTAAAAACAAAAACATAAAACATTGATGACCTCCTCCATTACCTCACAAGCTCATTGTTTTCTATTCACTCTTGGGACATGGAATCACTGGCTGGCCAGCATTTATTGCTGGTTGCCCTTGAGAAGTTGGTGGTGAGCTGCCTTCTTAAACTGCTGCAGTCCACTTGCTATAGTTGACCCACAACGCCCTCATAGGAGGGAATTCTAGGATTTTCACCCAGCAACATTGAAGGAACAGTGATCTATTTCCAAGGAAGGATGGTGAGTGGGTTGGAGGGGAACTTGCAGGGGGTGGTGTTCCCATGTACCTGCTGCCCTTGTCCTTCTAGATGGAAGTGGTCATGGGCTTGGAAGGTGCTGTCCAAGGATCTTTGTTGAATTTCTGCAGTGCATCTTGCAGATTGTACACACTGCTGCTACTGAGTGTCGGTGGTGGAGGGAGTGAATGCTTCTGGATGTGGTGCCAATCAAGCAGCTGCTTTGTCCTGATGGTGTCAAGCTTCGAGTGTTGTGGAATTGCATCCCTCCAGGCAAGTGGGGAGTATTCCATCACACTCCTGACTTGTGCCTTGTAGATGGTGGACAGTCAGGTGGTGAGTTACTCATTGCAGTATTCCTAGCCCCTCATCTGTTCTTGTAGCCACTAAGTTTATGAGTCAAGTCCTGTTGAGTTACTGGCTGATGGTAACCAAGGATATTCATACCAGTAACACTACTGTATGTCAAGGGGCTGTGATTAGATTGTATATTACTGGAGATGGTAATTGTCTGGCATTTTTGTGGCGCAAATCTAACTTGCTGTTTGTCAGCCCAAGCCTAGATACTGACCAGATCTTCTTTAATTTGCATTATTTCAGTACAGAGAATTTGTAAATGGTGCTAACATCCCCATTCTCACCTTAAGATGGAGGGAAGGTCATTGATAAAGCAACTGAAAATGGTTGTGCCGGGGACACTACCCTCAGGAACTCCTGGAGCTGAGATGACTGATCTCCAAGAACCACAACTATGTGCCAGGTATGACTCCAATCAACAGAAAGTCTGTCCCCTGATACTCATTGAGTCCAGTTTTGCTAGGGCTCCTTGATGCCACATTCAATCAAATGCAGCCTTGATGTCATGGGCTACCACTCTCACCTCACCTCCAGAATTCAGCTTTTTGTTTTGTCCATGTTTGAAAAAGAGGTTGTAATGAGGTCAGGAGCTGAGTGGTCCTGGCAGAACCCAAACCAGGCATCACTATGCTGTTTAGCATGTAAGTAGGCCTGTTGGTAGCTTCACCCAGTTGACACCTCAATTTTAGCTATACTTGGTGCTGTTCCTGGCATTCCCTCCTGCATTTAGAATTGAACTAGGGTTGATCCATGGCTTGATGATAATGGTGGAGTGAAGGATATGC